TCTAACACTGAACAGCAGGTCCTTGTGACTATGGCGTTCGCCCCGTCTGTTGTTCATCACACTAAAGTGTGAAAAAATCTGTCCATGTTCTTGTGTAGCTAGCCGCACAACTGTGTATCTGTTCAACTGCTGTCGTAAAACTAGCCCATAATAACCGAGATGAAAGTTGATCAGTTGGTTTCACACTCATTGACTCCGTTCGCGCCCTAACTGTGGCGAAAGCTTTTCGCTTATTGGACAGAGTCAAAACGGGGTCATATGAGCCAGTTTTGAATTTGTATGTGGCCACCAAGGCCACAGTACCTCCCTTTAAATCGTCCTATATTTGCGTAGAAACAGTTCGTGTTGCCCCCGTGGCCAATTCCGTTACTACCCAATTGCTCCACAAATATCTGAACAGCTTTTACTTAAACCCGTGTTAGTCAGTTCTATACAAAGCCCACATTTGATGTAGGAATCTTATCGGTTTAAAATATCGATATTTTTTCATCATACACCTCGTTTCTTTCTGCTGTCTTTCTTCTGCCATTTTCTTGGTGATAGGCAGCTTTGTTTTTTGTCCAGTCCGATAGCCCTCCATAGCCTATAGGGAAATCGTTTGTTTATCCATTTCAGCTCTCCGAATTTTGGTGGACAGTTTTCACAATTTCCTCGTGTTTGTCTGGTCTATCATTTTTACTGAGTATTAAAAATATCGTCACTCGTATTGTGTTGTGTCAATATTTTTTTATTCATTACACCGTTGTATGATGAACGGAAGACGGGGTCAACCCTATAATCGTGATAACCTGCTGCTTATTTTCAGAAAACGTTAACCTAAGTCTTCGGGACTTGGAGTGGCGAACCGCATAAGGCCCGGCTAAGTTAAGCGTGGTATTGAGCCGGATGATAGCGAAGCCATCACCAAAGTTGGGTGGCGATGGCGGGGTTTGAACCTCGATCCAAAGCACACCGGTGACAGTGACTGGACCACTGTCCCACCATGATTGTGATATGCTAGATTAGAGCATTTCCTCACATCTGCATGCTATTTTAAATTAATTATCTGGAGGTTTTTCAGACGATCAAAAAATGGAATTTACGTGTTGCATCTGCCGTTTTTTCTCTCTTAAAGTAACGGAGATCTAAACCCCATGGTTAAAGATAGAGCAAACCATTTTCTGTCGGCTATGAATACTGTATGAAATCACCGTCAAGTGCTAAACTCTGAATGCGGAACCGAATGGTTAGCGTCATCCAGTCACGCACGGTTTATCTGTTGATCATGTGGTCTAAACAATTCTATATTTCGGTCCTGTTTCCTGTCGCTTACCCAACTCTCTAGCAGTTCATCTTTTTGTTACACGTAAAGTAATTTACAGCGAAACGGGGGTAACCGCCCTAGTCAATGAAGTACTATAAGGCAGAAAGTATTTAGGGAATATGTGGGATCAGAATAAGATTATGAGGGATTGCTGCAGCTCGCCTTTCAGACTGGGGCCCAAGGGATGAGGATTGTCGATGGCTAGAAACACAGAGATATGACTCAGAATAGATGTCAGTGGCGCGATGGTTGTGCGGTTTGTTTGGCGAAACCCTGTTCCCCGNCCTTGGAAAGTGAACGGTGAAACTGTAAAAACACTCATTTATTCGTTTTGAAACCCACCACATCCCGATAGTACCGCCGCTGTTCGCGACTGCTTATTTGTTGCGGTATACCACAAATTATTGATAACTAACCTTCTTCGATGAAGCTATCCCACTATCCACAACCCGGGTACCCGCCTGGTAGCATTCAGCTCTACTTAACCCGAGAGATAACAAGCCAGGAATTCACGGAGACTGTCCCAGTGGCCTGAATGGTAACGCCGAAAGGTACATCAGGATCTAGGTGGTGAAATGGGGTGAGAGAAGTGAGTGAGAAAGGAAGCGAGGCGATAGTCCGAAACGGGAAATGGAAGTGATGTTGGAGAAATAAGTGGGAATGGATGTGAGAATCAGATCAAGAGTGTGGGTGCGGTCAACAACACCATCAGGAATGCCCGTAGGGAGGTCAGCTTGTTGACTCAGGTTGTTGACCGCTACAAAGCCTCGGTCCCGTGTCCCATGAACGAAGTATCTCACGAGTGGACAATAGAGTCTCCGATAGTGGTAATTTGGCTGTTAGGATCTGCTGCCATCAGTGTCTCAATGTCGAAAGATGGAATGCCAAAACGGAGAGATCGCTGCTTCTCGGGGTGCGGTAAACGGTACAAAAATAGTGTTTGAAAGAAGTTTCAGCTACATGAGCTGGGATTCACGTTTGGGAGCATCTAGGTGCGAAAGTCAGGAATAAAAATGGATATAGGCACAGACACCAGCTTTCAGAAGAAAAGAACAATAGAGGAAGTAATTGGGGAACTGAAGATGAGTGGTATCTGACGAGGGAGAGATTTGTGTCTCGGTCAGAAATAAAACCAACGGGGGAAGCAGATTGAAGAAAGTAATGTACAGAAATAACATTTCGATTTGAACTACGAATGTTGGTGAGACTGTGAGTTTATAGATAGAGTACCCATTCTGTGATTCGTGTGAGTTGTGTAGTTCATTTTTGGTGTTAGAGAATACTGGCAACCCAAATCTGTGACTTGGAATGGCTTCAATATGTTGAGCGTGGCAGCAGAGCTGCTCTTATCCCCTCCGTGAGAGGCCTTCACACAGATAAATAATGTCCGTTTGTTTGTCCTTATTGTTTATTGTCGCTGAAGTTCCTCCCCCCGTGAGTTTTTCTTCCTATCAGTGTTGCTTGTTAGCCTCAGATATTTCTGTGACTCCCTCTGAAAGTGCGCTTTCTTCCGATGCCTGCTCTCTCTGATCTGGTTCCCAATGATTGGTGCAAATACCAAGCAAATTAACCTGATGTGTCCTTCTGAGAGTAGCTAGCTTGTGCTAAACTACAGCTCCGATAGGGTTGCTGTGTTATTACATCAGGTGATGGTAAACCAGAATCGGTAAAATTGAACAAATCCAGCGGTTAGGCGCATACCAGTGGTAGGAAATTTGACTGTTCCATCATCACCACCACTAAAAGCACCATCACCACCACCAGTAGTAGTTGTAGTAGTAGCAGCAGCAACATGAAAACCACCCAGACCCTCCCCTCGCATCGTTTGTTTAGCTATGACCCTTTCTGCATTTTTGTTTTTATCGTTTTGCATATAATTTTCGTTACGCGCTCATGTTTCCCCATATCATTAGTTTGATTTCATTACAACAATTTCCGGTCCCCGCACAGGGTTTACGAATATTGCTTCACGCAATTCAACTCGCTGCGAGCCGTCACTCGCGCGTCATTGAACCACTTCTTTCACTCTCGGTCGATTTCTACGCTCGTGTGTTCGTCCGTGTCTGGTCTTCCCCGGGGGCTGTGAAAGGGATTGCTGCGAAACATGCCGTATGTTACACATGCTCCGGATGTGGTGTAAGTGTACAGCTCCGATTGTGGTTTTTGTTGTTTTCTTCCCGAACCCGGTTAAAACGCGTTCCATTCTGTCTCTCAAACATACATCACACGTGTGTGTATCAGACTACTTCGAAGTGTTGTCTTGGTCATGTCTATGTCTATCCTTCCTACCTTTAACTCTGCACATGTATAATTTTTTTATAAAAATTATTATTTGGCACAGTCTAAACTCAGGCGTCGTTGAAACTAAATAATCGTAAACAAGTTCGATCAAATTGTATCACACTGGCTATTCAAGGATTGATATCGTATGTGAAGTTAACCCCTATCTATTAGATTAATTTGCATCTGCTTTCACGAAATTGGTCTGCATGATGACTGTCTTTCTTCACTCTGCAGTCGGAAACGATCACGCTTGCGTACGACAGGAACAGATCACTGTTCTATGCGATGCGTGGGAATGATATTGCATCGCCATAGCACAGACGAATAAACAAATTCCAGGAAGAGAACACGAGACTGTCGGTGTTGTGCACATCCCCGGTCAAGTGTTTGTGTGTACCTATTCCCCCCACTTTTTCTGTCTGTTTTCCCGAAGCGCGTGTTTATAGGATCACGTAAATCGGCCGGTTTATATTATCGCCGTATTAGGTACCTTTATTGATTGGAGACGTTATGTTCATAAAATCCATTCAATCCCAGTTAATGAGCTCAAAAGGATGCGTCGTTGCAATGAGTATGTGCTGTGCGTGGCAAACACTGATAGCGCATTGCATGAACTTGTGCATTCTTGGTGCACTTGTTAAATGCAGCATATATAAGTCGCCTCCAGACTTACAATTGTTTTCCGCTTTTTCCTTTCTTGTTAGATGTATAATAGTATGGCTGCTCACAAATATTCCGCTTTCCATTATCTGGGAAGTTTTTTTCGTATATTCATGCTCATACACATTTCGAAGTCTTTGTAAGGAACCATATTTTCCCTCGCTTCTGCTCAGATAGCCGGCGTTCGTGGGCCACATGGAGTGCGTTAGCCTGATCGATGCTTGCTTGATTGAGCCGAGCAGATGCATGGCTCACCGCGGCAAAGTCGTTCAGCGCCATTTGGGCGGCTACTTTTGCATCCACCCCTAACCGGCGGATGCCTTCTTAGTGCTCATATACCACCGTAGCTCTTTTAACTGTGCAAATACTGCCAGTTGACACCAGTCCTCCATCTGAAATAGAGGTTACCCGAGAAATAAGCTATCTAAAAAAATATAAGGCTTCCTGCCCCAACAGGTTATCTCCATCGGTTTTTAAGTATGGAGGTCTAGCCTTGGTTTTAGAGTTAACAAAACTCCTGGGTTCAGTGTGGGCAAAGGAGGAGGTTCCAACTGGATGGTGTGAATCGGTGATCAGACCGATCAGACCGATTTACAAGAAGGGTGATAGGTCCTTTTGTGAAAACCACCGATGAATTAGTTTAATCAACATTGCTTCTAAACTTCTCGCCGCCTCTCGTGAAGAGTGCACACATAAGAATCAGGCTTGTTTTATACCTGGTCGAGGTTGTATGGACCACATGTTTACTGTTCGTCAAATCCTAGAACACAGACACTCTTTTCGTAGACCCACCATTTCCATCTTCCTCGAGCTGAAAGCGGCTTTCGACTCAGTGAACCGCTCTAAACTCTGGTGCTGCGTTTCTCTGACGGATGTGCCCGAGAAGTTTATTTCCATATTACAATCGTTCTATACTCATATCAGCAGCCAAGTCCGAGCTTATGGCACTTTTTCACCCGAGTTCACCACGGAAAGTGGTGTTCGACAGGGTTGCCCACTCTCTCCGTTTCTATTTAACTTTGTTATAGATTTAATTCTTCAAACAACCCTATACTCTTGCGGGGCTAGCGGCATCAATTTACTGTCGGATGGCAGGCTGTCTGATCTGGAGTACGCAGACGACATTGTGCTACTTAGTGAAGATCCATGTAAGTTGCAAGCATTTCTGGATAACTTCAATGCCAGCGTAGCCATGTTCGGTATGCATTGTGCACCTTCAAAGTGTAAAATGTTGCTACAAGACTAGGTTGGTCCAGCTACCAGCCTCACCCTAACTGAGGAAGTAATAGAGCAGGTGGATAAGTTTTGTTATCTCGGCAGCTA